GGGGGGGGGGGGGGGGGGGGTAGGTATATAGAGAAGGGGGGACGGAAAACGCAAAAACGGAGGACGAGCCGGGGCGTTGGCGTGCGAGAACAAACCCGGACTCTCCTACACCTGTGGATGTAGATCGGTTTCTTTCTTTCGTTTCGGTAAGGGCACAAGAAAGAACACAACCAAGCCGCCGAAATCTACCACCTTCCACCGCACAAAAACACATCATCCAAATATTTTGTTTTCTTCTTTCTTCAGCTGGGCGGGCAGGCGGGCGGCCGATAGAGTGGAGAGGGGACGAACACAAGACGGATGACGCGTTGAGTTGTTGTACGAGAAACCCTAGACTGTCACCCCGTGGATGGAGATGGTTTTATTCGTTTGTTACGAATAATAACACGACGAAGCGGAAATACTCTCTCTGTCTGTCTATCTTTGTCCTCTCTCTCTCTCTCTCTCTCTCTCTCTCTCTCTCTCTCTCTCTCTCTCTCTCTCTCTTTCTCTCTCTCCCTCTCCTTCTCAAGCTATTTCGCACTTCATCTCACAGACACATGGCCGCGAGCTGTGTTGGCCGGCTACGCTACAAGACTAGGCATCTCTCACTATTTAGGCGGCCTACCATCCTACCATCTTACCACCCTACCACCCTACCACCGCCCGGTCGTCTCAACGATGTACACACCTTGCTCACGCTACCGTCGTAGATGCCATACAGCTCGGGCTGGGCATCTTGCTTGGGCGCCTGTGGTGGCGGCGAGGGCACCGCAGAACCAAGAGGCAAAAGAAATGGAGGGAGTGTAACATCAAGAGACATAAAGGAGGGGGTTGGGGGTGGGGACCGTAGAATCGAGAAAAAGAAGAGAGGGGGGTGGGGGGACCGCAGAATCAGGATACAGAAGGGGGGGCGGGGGGCGGGGGCGGGCGCGCAGAGGACGGGTTTATGTTGTGCCTCACGTCGGCGCAAAATTTTCACTTTTGAAAAAAATATGAAAATCACGGAAAACACACTTATCTTTAGGTTCGCTACAGGTCGCTAGAAAAAGTCAATGCTGTTCTTTAATATTCTCATTTGTTCCCCGGATGGGCTAAACAAGGAAACATGCATTCTGGATATCTACCCACTGTTGCGAAAACATATCCCGAGTGGGTGTTAGTCTCGCGCGGTAAACAAACAGCAGCTGATCCGAACTACGGACCAGCTAAATAGTACAAACCGTGAACCCCCCACTTTCGTGGCGTGGGTGGTCCAACTTTCGCGTTCGCCAAAAAAGGAAAAGCACCGTATTCTACATACAACCTGTACCTGTGTTAAGTCATAGAGAGTGGGTACGAGTTGCTCCGACGTACATACATACAGAGCTACACCGAGTACCATTGAATGACACACATGCGACATGTACATACATAAACAACATACACATGTGCATGGCGTACTCAGAGTGGGCAGGGAGCCAATACACCGACGACTGCCACCAAAATACACAATCGCAACGTGCATACCTGCGGGCGTCTGTCGCCCCCCCGCCCCCTGTCGTCAGCGTCCCCCCAGCGTGAGGACCTCCTGCCCCCCCCACGGTCGTCGCCGCCGCCATCATCACTGCCACCACCACCGGGACGGCGATCTCTACTCCCCCCCCTGCCCTTTTCCTCCTCGCGACGGTGCCCCCCCCCCCTGTCCCTGTCCCTGTCCCTGTCCCTGTCCCTGCTGCCATCGCGCCGCCGTCTCCGGTCGCGGTCGTCGTTGGAACGGTCCCTGGAACGATCCCTAGAACGGTCCCTGGAACGGTCGTCGCCCCAACGGGAGGACCTTCTTTCGTCCCTCCCGCCGCTGCGGCTGCGACTCCTGCTCCGGCTTCTGTTTTTTTATGTCAATCGTTGGTAGATTTTCGCAGACGGCAAACAATTTACGTCCGTTTACACTTGTAGCATGCCTATACACAGCCAGTGCGTTTGTGTTGCTGCGTATCAAGTGTAAGCTCCCAAGCATGGGATACCTCGAGGGGGGTTGTTTGGTCGTTGCGGTTCTGATGTGGTCAGGACGAAGATGTACCTCCAACTATGTCACCCGCTTGGCGCGGTCTGTACCCTTAATACAAGAACGCACACAACATCGTCTCTCTGAAAGGTTTCGCGAAGAGCTTCATGTTGGCACTACGCAATCGCGTTCGGCGCGTTGCGCACTTTCCGAACTCTGGCCCCCTTCCAGGGATCTCGAGTTTGTGTTTGTTACCCGCTGGCATTGACGTCTTTTCATTGGTCGAGCCGTTTTGCGCAGCGCGGTAGATGCCAACAACAAACACACACACACACGCCCCGGTGGCCGACTTCACCTCAGGGGATCGTCCCAGATTACCGTTCGTAGGTTTGCATGACATGAGATGCCACACCCCCTGGAGCGATTTTCAAAGCTCCTCGATTACTACACACGGCCAAGATAATGCCGAAGGCAAACGATGCGTGTTCGGAAAGCTTTCTCTCGACGGGACGGTTCCAACTCCGAGATTTTCGGCACCGTCACTTCTTTTCCCTACAGAGGGATCAAGCTTTGAAAATCGGTCCACGGGGTGTGATATCTTATGCAACCTACGGTTTTGGCCCGTTTACACCCGCTTTCCGTTTCAACTTAGCCGCTCTGGCAGACGCCGGCACGTCTATCCATTGGTCCATCCGTTGGCGCGGTCGATGCCTACCAAAGATTGGTCAGTCGGTTAGCGCGGTCGATGCTAACCAAACCAAACCCGCAGACACACAACACACACGCAGCCTTGGTAGACACGTGTAGTGTCCTTTGTTGCTACCGTTTCTGTCCTTAATCCGGAGAATAGCTTAGCCTCCCCCATGCCGCCCCCTCACGGGGTCCCAGTTCATGGCAGATAGAAGTGTTGTGCGTTTTCAACCGCACTGAGACTGACGTACTTTCATTGGTCAGCCGGCTAGCGCGGTCGATGCTACTAATAAACACACACACACACACGCACACCCTAACCTGTTCCGCTTGCGGGGGTGCCTTGTATCATCATCGCCCCCCTCCCCTCTCCGTGCCGCCGCCTGGCTAGCGTCCCTTTCCCTTTCCTCCTGCCTGGCCTTCTTGGCCGCAGCGACCGCGGCCGCGGCCTCCTTAAGATCCTGCTCCTTCTTCTCCTGCTTTTCACGGGCGGCAACGAGTGTGTGTGGGGGCGGGCGCTTATACTTGCATATTAATAGCCGTGCACGCTGTAGAGGGCAGGGCGTACTCATGTAAAACGCATGACTTAGCGGTTAGACCATTGGCCACGCGGCCTCCTTAAGATCCTGCTCCTCCTTCTCCTTTTTTACTGGCGGCAAGGAGTGCGTGTGGGGGCGGGCGCTTATACTTGCACATTAATACCCGTGCACGCTGTAGAGGGGGGGGGCGTACTCATGTAAAACGCATGACTTTGCGGTTTGACCGTTGGCCACGCGTCCTCGAGAGGACGAAGGGGGGCGTACTCTTACGTTTTGGCATGCCTCTGCGGTTAGACCATTGACCACGAGTCCTCAAAAGGACGGAGTATTGCGTTCCCTCAGGACTGGTCACAGATGGCCAATCGTTCCTCCCTACTTCGCCGGGAAGTGGGGGGCGGGGCTTGGTACTCATGGTTTGCTATGCCTTCGCGGCTAGACCATTGACCACACGTCCTCGAGAGGACGCAGGGGTGTGTGTGTGTGTGCTAACGTAAACACACGCCATAGTCGTTAGACCTTTGACCTCACACCCCTACCAAAAACGGAGCGGTATGAACGCCGGGTTTCCGCCGGCCCAGGGTACGTTTTACAAGAGGGTGAACCAGGAAGCTGGTAATCATCCTTTAGTTTGCTGTTGAGTCAAACCAGCTATGCTATGGGTGGGTTGATTGGGAGGGGTGTACTCATGTTCTGACTCGGTTGTTAGACCGTTGACCACGCACCCTCGAAAGGACTGGAGGGGGGGAAGCACCGCCCGGCTGAAGAATGCGGCTTTAAGCCGACACTTACGCGTAAGGCTCGCTCGTGGCAGGAATCAGGGAGTCAATACTGTACCAGGTCTGACGTCTGATCATTGTTGTGTAGTCTGATCATTTTTGTGTAGCTCATCCTGTCAAACCTTTCTAGTTTTTATCGTCGTCCGCACGCCTGTGGCAAGAGGCTACCACCGCCCACTGCCCGACTGGAGGAGACCGCAGGGCTGGTGCTTGAAAAACGTCCGATACATGCCGTGTGTGCCCGCGTGCTCACAACCATTCCACAATATTTCAACGCTCCGAACAACGCTTGTATCGTACCCCACCCCCCTTCTCTTCTCCGTAATAGCCGGCAATTGCAGATGGCCGCATCCGTACTACTACGCGTACTGCAATACACGCCAACCTTCGTTCAGCAGATCTTCGCTAAATACAGATACGCCCCATCACACTGGCTTTTGTCTTCATTACCTGAGCTGGTTCCTGACCTTCCTCTGCCACAGCAGTAGTCTAGATACCCACACTAGTAACGCGCGGATTCCACATCTACGCAAACACAGGGATCTTGTACACACATGCCTTGCTGCCATGAACACGCCACCAAGCCGTACGCAGTAGTGTGGACTGCACAGCAGTCTCTCACTGCTGTTGTCTCTGTAGCCAAGCCGGTTGCTTCCTGTGCATATGATGCCCATGCGTACCCAGATGTGTATTCGCTCACACTAAAATAATGTCAACAGGCAGTCGTCGTGAACACAAGCGGCGCATGTTATATACACTTCTGTCACAACTGCCCCACCCGCACCTATAACGCATACCTCTTGCTTCCTGCTGTGCTCTCCAGGGTCGACCTCCCCGAAGCCATCCTCCAGCTGAACCACGCTGGTGTTGGGCATCGCCAGCCCCGGAAACCGCGCCTCCTTCTCGTTCCTCGGCACCCTGGCCACAGCAGCCTTGGGCGTGGCCTTCTTCGCACCCCCCCCGCCCGCCCGGCCGGCCGAAGCCCCCTTAGAGGGCTTCATGGCGCCGATGATCCGCAGGAGGTTGTCGGCGAGGGAGTCCGGGAACTCGGCTCCGTTCTCCGACAGGGCCTGGCGGAACGCCGCCGGGTCCGGGAACTCATCGGCCAGGTGGATGATGAACTCGGCGAGCGTGCGGTCGCTCAGGCCCAGGTGGTTGTCGAGCTCGGTGCAGACCTTGGACACCAGGGAGAGCCGCTGGAGCTCGTCTATACTGCTGCTCACCATTGCCTTGCCGTTGTTGTCGACTGCTGTCAATCTTGGGCAACAACAATTTTTTGTACTTTTTTATTTTGTTCCTTGCTTGTTGCGCCCAGCCCAGGCTGTCTACGGTACACCAACAAGCTGCACCGGATGTCCTCAACCTCTTCAGTTCGTCCCCATCACCAGCTTCCGTTGTATTGCACAGGTCTGTCTTTGTGTTTGCGCAGGCCCAACACACCTCGAGATTTTGAGATTGTGGGGGTACGTGGATTCGATGCAACACTCAGGGTATGATTGTCTCCATCTGGGGGACCCCTGACGCGAACAAATTTCACCGACCACAAACAACATCCCCGACTACACTTCTACTACGCTACGCCGGGACGCAGGAGGGCGAAGGCAGGGATCGTATCGGAGTAAGGGAGAGAGAGAGGGCACACATACACGCGCGCTCGCGTCAAGGAGCCCCGTCCGGGCAGCGCGCGCCCTGATCTGTGGTGAGAACAAACGACTCATCGTCTTTTGGGCCGCGCCCTTGTGGTGTCTGTATTCCCGCCCGATGATGAGTGATGTGTCCGGTCCGATGGTTCCGCTTTTTCTCTCACATACAACCCAAACCTGCTTCTGCGATGATGACGTTTACCGAGAGGGATAGTGTTCCTTGTAGGTAAGACTGCTGCTGCTGTGTCTTGGTGTGCATCGAAACTCGCCCCCCGTGTATGGGGGAGAGGGAGTGCTTCTGTCCGTGTGTGTGTGTGTCGACAGCAATTTTTTTCGGTTTGATGATGATGATTGATCGAAAAAGAAGCCGTTTGGGGATAAAGTTCTGCTGTGGGGTGGGCGAGTGGGCGAGGAACCATCAGTAGAACGGCGCATGAATATGCAAGACAGAATTTTTATTGATTGTACAAAATCAGAGAGGCGCTCTTTGCTGCTGTATTTGCGAGACACCAGAACTAAAAGGGTGTGTGTTGTACACCGTTTCCCCGGGCTGGTTGGTATGCTTCAGCGCAGAGGGAGAAACCAAAGGGCCAATGCCTCCAGCAGCGTTTTGCTGGTTGTGGCCTTCCGTGCAAAGTGAAGTTCTGTGTGCAGAAATGCAGAGTGCAGAGAGAGATCTATAACATGGATGTTCGCACCAGTTGCATTCGAGATGTTCTGCTACCCATCGAACACCGCCACGCGGCGGTAGGTAGATGGTGGATACATTTACATTTCTTGGGGGCGCCCGGGAAGAAAAGGGTACCATGTATCTAGCAGAACCACAAACTACATCGCCACAGACGACGTGCTTTGTTCGTAGCACACTTCAACGGCGGGTCGATTTATTGTACATGAAAGAACAGAAAAACGAGTCACCATCCATATTATGCGTTGATCTCTTGCTCTGGGCGCGCACAGCAACATTAAAAAAGTCGGAATGCTCAAGAGGTTGACGCCCCGCAATTTTCAGCAGCGGCTCTGTCTGTCTGTCTGTCTGTCTCTCTCTCTCTCTCTCTCTCTCTCTGTCTCTCTGTGTGTGTCTCTCTCTCTCTCTCTCTCTCTCTCTCTCCCTTTCCTTCTTTTTCTGCTCGTGTGTGTGTAGTTGTACGTGTGGTTCACACTTTTTTGCTTGTAGGCGCACGTGGTCGTGTAGCATACACTTGTGCATTTTTTTTTTTTTTTGTTCTTCACTTCAAATCAGCGCTCACAGCACTAGTGCCGTTTATTCCAACCCGTGGTCACACACACACACACATGTGCATGCAACAAGCTGATTGAATGGGTCGGTGAATTACGGGTCCCACCACCCGCAATACCGCCGCAGCAGCAGCAGGCTGTTGGTTGTTGTTGTTGTTCCCCGCCAGCCAGCCAGCCCCGACATTTTCTATGCATTTTCTTCTGTGTCGTTGAGACCCTGTCGGCGCGGGTAGATGCCCCCCCCCCCCCCCCGCCCTACTCCGCCCACAGACTCAGAACACCGCCCCACACCGTTGTTTCCCAAGGGGTCGGCTGTTGTACAATACCTTTGGACGGCATATTTTGGCGGCGACAAAGGCGCAGCTTTCAACTCCGGCTGTTTGTCTCCATTGACGGCATAATTACCAGCTCTATTTTGCGGCGACAGCGGCACAGCTATTGGTTGGGAATGCTTGCTTCTAATGTATAGCACCGCTACCTGCGACGCACAGCAGTACGTACGTTTCACGAGCGGGATACCGTGTTCTGTCTTCTGGTAAACTATCGTACCTAGTAAACACGCAAGGTACGTGTAGATCAGCGGAGATGAAGGCTTGTACACAATGGGCAGTGAGATCGGAATGGTTATTTATGTGAATACAACAACAACAACCCAACTTCCCCCAAGCTGTCTGTGTTTTTTATATTGCTCAATATCGTAGTTTTTCGATTTTTGTATTTTCTCAGAACAAAAATGGAATATTCGTGTCCTTCCCAGAGGAGACAAGAGAGGTCGAGGCAAATTCGGCAGTGAATTGGCGCATACGTGCAAGCGTTGGCGAAATATATGGTATGTATCAAGCGGTGTTCTACGATTCCCCCGCCGCTAGGAAGAAAAATATTTTGTTCAAATAGTTTTTTGCTGCTGCTCGCGTTTGCCGCGAGTGGAAGAGCTCAAAAAGCCCCGCTGCTGCGTCCCCCGAAGAAGACAACAAGATGTTATTTGTTTGTGTATGAAATAGAGCGGGGGAATGGAGCGGGGGTTGTCTGCCGTAACCCTGCCCTAATCCTAGCGAGCGGCCTTCGCGAGTAGTTAAGTTTATTGAGGAAATAGTACAGGGAGGGGATGGATACATAGACCCGTTTCCCTATCCCTACACCCTAACCCAACAACTTGCCCGATTGGATGCTTTGTCCAACATGTTTAGCTACATATAAGTAGAACAACACCTGCAAAGGGGGCTACGGACCTTGGCCCTACCTCCCAGCCCGTACCGTAACTCATACCAAAACCAAGCTATTACTTGTACTGCTGTATCCCCGCAGAAGGCTGCTGGAAAACAACGACCTGCTTCGTTTGTTTTGTACATACATGTGTTCGTTGTTGTTCCTTGCGATTGTAGTATGCTTTTTATATATCCAAAATGTTTACATACTGAATAGAATACCCCTACAAAGGGGGCTACTGACCTTAGCCCTACCCCCCAGCCCATTCCGTAACTCTTGCTGTGCTATGTATAAGAAAGCTATTCGCGAAGGCTGCTGGAAAGCAACGGCCTGTTGGGTTTTGTTCAGTACATGTCTTCGTTGGATGTTCCGGGCTCACACGCGGTTATATTTTCCCGCCAGCGTTTTTTTTTCTTTTCTTTTTTTTTCTAGCACTCGTCTCCCAGTGAGTACGTATTTGTGGTCTGCTATCATAGATACATATCTCGCGTTTAAGGATTTTCTGGGTCCCTGCCTTTGTCCGTCTTTGGTTTCCAGAAATGTGTGGCACTGCTACTGCTGCACCCGCTTTGGGTAAGCTTGCCTTTGTGACCCCGCGGAACGTGACATGTTGTCCATTTTAGTGTTTGATATGTATGCCTTTGTTGGCGTTTAACCTTTCTCCCACTCTCGTCCTCGCTCTCTTTTTCCAGGTGATTCGACGAGTCCACGGACGCGGTTCGGGGGGCCACGCGGCAGGGAGATATTAGGGGGGGGGCGGGGGGAGGAGGGAGGTGCATAAATACCCCCCAAGAGGTTTGAGACAGAGACAACGTAACGGGGGCAGCAGAGATGAGAGCAGGTGGAAACGGCAAGATGGCCCGCACTGTTGTGGTGGTCAGTGGAACCGTTGCGTCGGGTTCACGCAGCAGCAGCAGCAACAGGAGGAGCAGTATCAGGTCGAAGCCGACGGGTCTCGCGGTGATGCTGGCTGCAGGGGTGATGACGATGATAGGGTGTGCTGGCGGAGGCCTGCTGCCGGTCGCCTCCGCTACGGCAACAGCTGCTGCTGTTGCCGACGCCGGAGCTGAGGCCAATAACGCCGGAGCTGAGGCCAATAACGCCGGCGCCATGTCGAGGCATCTCGGCCTAGCGCAGCCACAGCAGCAGCAGCAGCAGCAGCAGCAGCAGCAGCAGCAGAAGAGGGAGGGGGAGGGGGAGGGGGAAGAAGAGGAAGGGGTGGTGCGGATTCTCATGACGACCGCTTACTCCTCCTCTTCCCTCTCCACCGACATTCCCGTCCCCGTTGTCAGCTACGACGACGACCCCGTTGGCGGGGGCGCCGCAGCATCCCCCACCCCGGGCCCATCCACCACCGCCACGGCCACCACGGCGGAGCCGTCAACTGCGGAGCCCCTTACCTCCACCGCGACTCCGGAACCAACAACCGCCGCCACGGCTGCCGCCGCCGCTCCCACCCCCGCGGCGGCGGCTTCCCAGCCGTCGGCGGCCCCGGTGGCTGCCGCAGCAGCAACCCCCGAGCCTACGGCAGCGGCGACCGCCGCTGCCGTCGTTGTTACGGAGGAGCCGTCTGCGGCGCCGGTGGCGGCAACGGCTGCTCCGCAGGAGGAAGTGGTGGTCACGCCCGCTCCCACCGTCGCGGAGGAGGAGGAGGAGATGCACACCTCCGCTCCGGCGTTGGCTGTGGACACCCCGCCCCCGCCTTCCGATGACGACGATGGCGATGATGATGCCGCTGCTGCTGCGACGGCGACGCCGGCTCCCACCACCGCTGCCGCGGAGAAGGAGGCCGACGATGACGATGGCGAGGCGGAAGAAGACGCTGCGACTGCTACTACTACTCCGGCACCCGGGGTTGTTGTCGTCGCGGATGATGATGGCGGGGACGGGGGCGTCAGCGTGACTCCGGCCCCCGCTTCCGCCGGGGGGGGGGGGGAGGGGGGCGACAACCACCCTTTGGCGGAA